CTGTTTGATGGTGTAGTGTTTATAATTGTAACTTTGTGTAGATGATATTATCAGAAGACCGTTGCGTTCTTGTCACTTCCGGAAGTTACCGGTATCAGCCTGACTGATCCGTTTACATGCAGATGAAGTCGATTTCCTACTGAATTATTTGGGTGCTTCAGCACAATTAGAACCAGTTTGCCAATTGGGCCACTAAGCTAAAGAAATTAATCAGTGCTTCTATTAGTTTATAAACTTATCATTAAAACTGTCTAAGGAGACTTGACTATTACCATTAATGTTTGAGAATAAATATAAAGTTAGTGTCTAAATCAGCGGTACTCAATAGGCGACCCATGGTACTCCCCTCTTTGTGGCCCCGAGCGGGAGGGGTGGGAACCGCGCTGGTGTGCAGTGCTGTTTCATTATATTGTAGGCTTGTGTGTTGTGTGAAGCACCACCAGCAACCCCCCCCCCCCCCCCCCCCCCCCCCCGTCCACCAATTCTGCGGCTGCACCCCCCCCCCCCCCCCCCCCACCACCACCACCACCATCCAGACCAGACCTCGCGCTTCCAGGTCGCTTTGTGGAGTGGCCCTCGGACCATTACATTTGAGTAACCCAGGTCTAAATTGTATCTCATGTCAATTTCAGCAGATTCACATGTATCTGAACATTTCAGCGTTAGTCTGGAATAGGCCTGCACAATATATCGAAAAATTATCGTCATCGCGATAACAGGACGTGCGATAGGCCCATCGCAAAGCACGTCAAAAACGGCGATAAATGTTTGGTTCAAACATTTCCATCAACGTTTTGTAAACCAGCTCTGTTTTTTTACGCGGCAGTATTATTTGACCAATCAAATGTAGCCCTTCTGATATGCGGCCAATCAGATGGGTCCGTTCACGTAATATGCCCGCCCCTTACGTAGACCCTTAGTATGGGTGGAACGCAACACCCGGACTGAGTTAGCGGTGCCGTTCCCTTGTTCGTCATGCTGGCTCAGAGCAACGAACGCACTTTGTGCTGAGGTTTCTGAAATCAGCGCTGCTTTCAAACGTGAACGTGAGTCCGCTTGGTGTTGTTAAGCAGCTGATAGTACCCGGGCTGACTCCGACACATGCCGGTGAACCAACCCACCTACCTTCATGTCGCTAGTGTTCCACCGGGTGGTGATGTTAGCCCCAGGCACTGGTTAGCTTCCAGCTAAAAGGCTACAGCACTCTTCTCCCAGTCCCACCCTGCTAATGAGGGCCTGGAAAAGTTCCCCCGCACATCAAAGTGATTTTTCATTTATGAGCTTTTATAACCTTGTTATTCAGGATAGTTGATTTGCTGCTGCACATAAACTGTTAGCTTGTTATCAGACTCATAGTTGCAGTTTCATCATCTGAGCTGCTTTTTAAGATCTACGTAAACTTGTTCAATTTGGGGTTAAAACCAGACGTTTTCACATATTTTCCATGTAGTTTTTTGCCAGTTCCTCTTCTGAAAGGTAGACAATTGTTTTTCTCTTTCCCTCAAAAAATCTTAATATTCTCCTAGTTTGGCCCAGTACAGATCACTTCCCAATTACAGCAACAGCCTTATATCATAACCACATAAGTGGAAAAAATGTTCAGTAGCAATGAGAGAATTTGCTGAAGCATTCAAGTGATGTTAACTATTATTTAACATTCAAACTTATTTTCTTATATTTTTATTTATTCAAAAAAACCCTGGTAAGGGATGTTTTTCTGTATTTGGAGCATCAGAAAAAGTTTTATGGTGGTGGTGAGGCTTTAAAAGTCACTGAGAAACTGCATGCATGCAGTTTGTTGTTTTGTTGCTAATACAGTAGCAGGTGCAGCTGCATGATTTTTCAATGAAAATGTTATGTTGTAATGGAATTCATGCATTAGTTTTTGTTTGCTTTGAACCCAGAGCAGACATCACACGCCAGACGACATCAACACTGCATACTTTAGTATTTGTTCATTTATCGCAAGTAATATCGATATCGCAATATTAGCAGTGTTATCGAATATCGCAGGTTTTCCTAATATCGTGCAGCCCTCGTCTGGAATATGTGGTCATACTCTTATATAAAATTTCCTCCCACATATCAGCTAGCATTCACATTTCTTTGGTTCCTTTTTATGAAAGTTTTAATACAAAAGTTAAAGTGAACCAAGTCCATAGAACATTTCATCAGTCCTTTGTTGTCACCATAAGGTGCTTGAAGTCTGTTTTGTTATGCTTTATTACAAACCCATCAACCACTGGGTATTGATGTTTAGATATAGATGGAGCAGAGCGATGTGGGGATTTACCAGACCCATGGCTGGTAATGGGATGGAACTGACAGCACAAATAATCCATATTGTTGGATCCATCACTTTCATGCTATGTCTTTCCAGACATCTTATGTTTTATAATTGTCTCTTTGTGATATTTGAAGCTTTAGATAAAAGGAACCACCTGATGTCATTCAATCAGCAGCAAACCAAATCTACAAGTGTGCTCATCCCCAACAGAATAAGAACATAGAGGAATGAAGGTATTAAAAGCTAAAATGTCATAGTAGACCAAAAAATAATCTTACCAGATTAAATGTAATTCCAAAAGACACAAAATAACAAAAAAACCTAAAAGAAATACAACATTTCTCTAGTCTGGTAAGCCATCTTATATATGCTCTCAGTCGTGTGGCAGGATCTTTAAAACTGTCTCTGCACGCTATTGGATAGCCAGCAACATAACATACTCAATGGGGCAGTTCGCCATACTCCATCAAAGAAGATCCAAATTCATTATTTTTCTAAAAAATACGTAAGCACGTCTGTCTGCACTTGGCTCAAAGAAAAGCCCAAGATGAAATAATTCAAAGTTAAGGCCAAAGTCGTTTCAAACGAGTCGTCGCTATCTTTGTTTTTTTCAGTAGCATCCCGCCCACCAACACAGTGCTATGATTGGCCAACCAAACCATTAGAGTGCTGTGATTAGACAGCAACAGAGCAGTCGCCATCTTAGTTTAGCTCAGTCAAAGTAACGTTCTGCTCACCTGGCTAATTGAAAGCACTGTGATTGGCCCACCAAAAAGACAGAGCGCTGTGATTGGACCTCTAAGGATGTCAGTCACTGGGCAGTCCGTCATACGCTGTCGAAGAAGGTGCAACATCCCGCCTACCAAGCAGAGCGCTGTGACTGGACCAATACCAGACTGTCCGGAGCTGCTGAGGTTGGAGGATGACTATACCATCCTTTTGCTTTGGCAAACTTGCGGTCTGGATTCAAAGCTACCATTTCTCTACACGTCTCTACATGAAAACAGAACTTGTGTTGTTAAAGTCACTGGAAGCCTTTTATTTTTATAATTGTTTCCTAACACTGACGGTCCATTAATTTGTTACTTTCTCGCAGAGCCATTTCCCCATCTTTTTTCTATTCTCTATATTTGTGTCATTCTGAATCTGTCTTCACAAAATACCCCAATAGAATTTCAGGAGCAACTTCCACTTTCAGTGATGTCACTGCTTCACATAATTTATGACATTCAAAAGAAAATTAATGCAAAAAAAATGTGAATCTGTCAATCTTTACAAATCAGTAGTAGTGTTCATTTTCACCATTTCTAGTGTTTTTATTTTTATGTGGGTTATCTGTAAAAGATGTGTCATGTTGTTGAATGTTACTTAGTCTTTTTCGTTGTTGTTGTTTTACGTTTCTGACAGCTGCTGGTGAATTTATTAACCTCTTTCATGAAAACTCACAAATGTGGATGTCCATTTGAGTGCTCAGACGTCCAAGAGCAAATAAAAATTGCCAGACTGGAAGTTTTGTTTTCTTTAATAAAAAGAAAGACATTTTGTGCCTTTTCAACAACTAATTCAGCCAAGACTGGAAGTGTGATAGTGAGTGAGTGTTTGTGTGTTTGGAGTACACCACAGATGGGGTGCGGAAAAAAATTACAAGACTGTTTGTTATAATTTAAGTTATTTAACATGGCAAACAAGAATAAAGTCTGCAAATGTGTCCAGTCTGTATATTTGAGTATTAAAACAGATAATCGCCTTAACGTGGAGTTGAATACAACTGGCTAATAAGGATTTATTCATTCATTAGGAGATTTTTAATTTATCTTATCAAGTCTAATTTCCTCTGCGTCTACTCTGAATATAGTCATGCTTCGGAAACGTTGGAAACGCACACGTAAACACACAACGCAACCTCTTCATTAATATGATTGCACATATGCCTGCTTTTGTCAGCACTATCTATCCCATCAACACTTCACACAGCCACAGAGTGAGCCAGGATTTGAATACCAAGAGCTAAAAAAAACACCATTATCAGCACTATTGGTCCATCGGGTAGAGCTGCAGCATGCAGACAGGGGATGCAACGGAGAGGGTTTGTTTTTCATGTAAATCAAGCAGATGAAAAAATGACTTGTTCTTCAGATCAAAACAAAACATAACAAATTTTATGGGGGTTGACTGCTTAAAAATTATTTTCAAACTACTGCCTTATGACTTGACTCTTCGGCATGTAATGATTCTTTAAGCACAATTTTTTTTTCCCACTAAACCTGCTACACATTATAAAATGAAATGATAGTTTTACCAGTCTAGTACGTCATTCTCTAATTAGCCTTCTCTTTGGGAATATTTGGAGATGGATATTCAACTCCTGGCTTGAGAATAATTTATTCCACGGTGACTTTCGATATCTTATTCATGAATTCAATTTACCCAGAAAATGAGCAAAGAGTTTCTAGAAAAGAAATGACCTTTAACCTCAATAAAATATGCGAAGCACTTGATCTTTCCCATGAAATAGGAAGTAATGATGTCTTAGGATTAAAAACACAAGCTTAAACAAATTCAGGCTAGCCTTATTAACCATATGCTCCTCATCAACCAGTGACAATACCACATTTATGAGTCGAGCTGTTTTTACAACAGCTATAAATGTTGAATTTTGTGTTGTTTGACCCATTTAGAGTTAGTTTTAAAGTTTTAAAAGAATTATACTCACCCCATTCTTAGGGTAAGCAACCCATCCTAAATCTCCCATCACAGAGCGAGAGTCCAACAGGTTCACTGTTAAATGGGTAGAAATACAGAAAATTATTATTTCATAACATTAAACCTGGATAATTCACATAAAAAAGAAATAAACATCTCTTAAAATTAGCATGATTCACACAAAAAAGCTTTTACAATGTTTTCTGATGCATTTGACTTGTAAACATTGACTGTACTTGTAATGGCTATTGAGTGAATAATGGTTTGTTTAGATTTAAATTAGATTTTTTTAAACAATATTGGGAGTGTAGTGTGGTGTGGTGTATTTCACATATCCAAATCCAATTTACTTATAAAGCACTAACAAATAACATGTATCAAAGTGCTGTACAACAGAAATACACATAAAAAACAAGATAAGAAGCAATACAGAGGCAACAAGACAAGTCATATCAAAATCAAGCTATTTCAGTCAAAAGCAATAGAGAATAGATTAATCTTAAGGCAAGATTTAGACACCATGAGTTAGTCAGCCTGTTTTACACTTAGAGGCAGCTCATTTCACAACCTGGGACCAATGACTGAAAAAGCTTTCTCTTCTTTAGGCTTGCGTTTGATCAGAGGAACCACAAGCAGCCCACACTTAGCCAATTGAAGAGACCGAAAAGGTGCATATGGAATCTGCAGTTTGACATATATCAATATAGTACCTGACCGGGAGCCAATAAAGGGAAGATAAGACGAAATATGGTCATGCTTAAGAGTACCAGTTAAAAGGTGTGCCGCAGCATTTTGGACCAGCTACACATGTGAAATTAAGGAATGGCTGATACCCACATACAGAGCATTAATTACATTAGTCTAGTCTAGTTCTCACAAATACATGAGTTAAGATCTCAAAAAGATGTCTTGATAGGGATGGTTTTTATCTTTGCTAGCTGTCTCAAATGGAAAAAACGCACTGACCACTGAACTTATGTGTTTATCAAAACTAAAATTGGTATTCATTGTCACACCTAGGTTAGACACAGTAGACTTAAGAAACTAGGTTAATGGTCCCAAGTTCAGACAGTTAATACCACCTGTGTTTTTAGACCCAAATTGTTAAACCTTTCAGTCTCATTGAAAGGCAAAAAGTTCACAGGTATGTAAGATTTAACCTAAATAGGCACTCCGATAGTTTTGCTGCACAGTTTTCCTCCAGGCCAAGGGGCACAAACTGACAAAAAAAAAGACCCCAGAGGAACAAAAGAGGCTCAAGAATGGACCCCTGAGGAACATCACTTTGCAGGGGAGCTGTGGAGAACACTGAGGGAGTGGACATGAAGAATTAACCTTGACTTTATTCACTATATACACGTGTCCTTACATTACAATTAAAATAAATTAAAATGTTTTTACTTTGCATTATATAGTTAATGAAAAAGAAATCAGTATAAACTTAATATCAAAACTATTAAAGCACAAAAGGACGACACATGAGCTAATTTCCCTCTGTGATTAATTAAGTATCTTTGAATTGAATTGAATTGAATTCATGCTCCATCTTTGAGTTTTAAAAGCTTGTCCACCAAAACTTCTAATCTTTATTCTTCGATTCAACCATTTCAGTGCCTGTCGCACAACAAGTACCTCTGAATTATCCATCAAAAAAACTCCCCTCTCAGACTCCTGGATGAAAGCTGTCAACTGCAATTACTTGACCCTCAGGTAATGCAGTCACTTATCTCGTCTGTCTGTACACACAGAAGGATTCTCCTACAGCAAAACTCACCATCAGCCTCAGCAAAATAATAATAATAACAATAACAATAATAATAATAATAATAATAATAATCCAACTCACTATAGTGACCACAACTTCAAAGAGTTTTTTAAGATTCACCAGGACGATGAAAGTTCAAGTGGGAATGTCTTCCAGCTACAGCTAGTTTAGCCAGAACATGCCCAAAACTAGACAGTTTCTGGTCTAAAACATGTTTGCTGTAGTAGAAATAGGCAGGTGTAAAAATGTAAGTAACTATGAAGAAGAAGAAGAAGAAGAAGAAGAAGATATTTTTTCTATAGCGCCCCTCAATATAAAAATCATGAGGCGCTTCACAAAATCAAAGAATGTAAAAATATAAAAAATAATTTAGAAACTGGTTAAAAATATATTTTAAATGAGCAAAAAATTGACAATTGTGATTAAAAAATGTAAAGAAAGAAAGTGAATAGATAAGAGGGAAATCGGTGGATCCTGAGGAAGGTGGAATAGGTGGGGAGAGCAGAATAAAGAGAGAGTGGTGAAGAAGGTCATACAAAAGCCAGCTTGAACAAGTGAGTCTTCAGCTGCTTTTTAAAGGAGTCCACTGAGTCCACTGATCTCAGGCTCAGGGGGAGAGAGTTCCAGAGTCTGGGGGCCACAGCAGCAAATGATCTGTCACCTTTGCTCTTTAGCCTGGTGGGCTTCACAACCAGTAGGCTTTGATCACTGGACCTTAGGGACCTGCTGGGGGTGTAGGGACTAAGAAGATCACCAATGGAAGATGGTGCTTGTCCATGTAAGGCCCTATAGACCAGAACCAGGATCTTGAAATGAACCCTGAAGTTGACTGGCAACCAGTGAAGCTGGAGGAGAAGCGGGGTGATGTGGGTGTGTTTGGAGGACTTGGTCAGAAGCCGAGCACAGGCATTCTGAACCACCTGTAGACGGTTCAGGGATGTTCTGCTCAGACACGTGAAAAGAGAGTTACAGTAGTCTAAGCGTGAGGAGATGAAGGTGTGGAGAACTGTCTCAAGTTCAGAGCGGGACAGAATGGGACTTAGCTTAGCAATGTTCCTGAGATGGAAGAAGGAAGAGCGAACAAGAGAACTGACATGAGAATCCAGGGTGAGAGCTGGGTCAAAGCTCACACCAAGATTCCTGACAGACAAGGACCAATGCTTTATTTCCAGATGACAGAGTCAGAACAAACTCTCAGCAGCAGTTTAACAAGCCCCCTCATAAATCACACAAACAAAAGATGTATCACTTTACTGGCGGCTCCACAAACTTGCCCCAGATTGCTGAAGCTTGTAGTGTCATATATAAGCAACTCATGTACAATCAAGCTGGACTTTGCTTTGCTTTATCTTTTTTATGGTACGGTCTGTACTTTGGGTTTTCAGAGAGTACTCGAGCCATAAAGGGGAAAGTCAAAGTAAATTATCTGTTAACCGCTCTTTTAGGATGGTACTGAACTGGAGAAGTGGGAAGAGAATGAGGACAAAGTGTCTTGTTTGCAAATTAAAGACTTTTCTGGTTACTAAATGGGCTATTTATATGTACCGCAATTTCCGGACTTTAGAGTGCACCTCGATATAAGCCGCATCAGGCTAAAAGCCGCAGATATCTACTGAATTGAAAACGTATTTTAACTGTCAGTGTCGCTCTCCGTGTTGCTGTCATCATCCCGGGGTGAGGCGGTGAAAACACGCAGTGCCGTTTTACTGTGAAAAAATCCTCTGAGGCGCTTTCTGTAGCACTCCTTTCCAGCATCCATCCTTTTAAAGCCGCGCACCTCATTATAAGCCGCGTTCAAAGCGTGGGAAAAAGTAGCGGCTTATAGTTTGGAAAATACGGTATATATGGTAGTTACTTCTTACCGGCATCTTGTTTGCGTCACTTTAGCTTTCAGAACTGTTTAAATTTTTCACAATACAGATTCAACAAGGTGTGGCAGACATTCCACATAAGTTCTGATCCATATGGAGTTGATAGCATCACACAGTTTCTGCAGATTTCTCAGTAACACATGCATGAGTGTGTGAATTTCCCATTTCACCACATCCAATGGCATTGCACTGGATTATGTTGGATTTGTGACATGGTGCATTACCCTGCTGAAAGAAGCCATCAGAAGATGGGTCCACTGGGGTCAAAAAGAGATGCACATGATGTTTAATCCAGGCTCCAGTGGTACTAATGTGGGAGAAGAACATCTCATCCATACCATTACACCACCTGAAGCAGCCCGAATCATTTATGCAACGCAGGATGGATACACGTTTTGATGTTGACCCCAAGCATGACCCGACCATCTTAATGCTGCAGCTGGACTCATCAGACCAGGAAACATTTTTCCAATCTGTTATTGTCCAGTTTTGGTGATCCTATGTGAACTGAGTCACACCTGAAGTGATCGTTTGCTTCTGGAGTCCATGTTCAACACGTGATGGTTCAGACATATTCTGTAGACCTCTGTTGGAATCACTGGCTCTTTGAGCAACTGTTGCTTTTCTAATATCTAGAACCAGTCTGCTCATTCTGCTCAGACATCAACAAGGCATTTTTATTAACACCACAGCTGTTCACTTGAGATTTTCTGGTTTTTTTGGATCATTCTCTGTTCACCCTGGAGATTCCAAAAAGCCTAGCTGCCTAAAAGCAGAGTTTCTGCCATGTGAATGGCTGATTGGCCACTTGCTAATAGCTAATAAAGTAACAAATACATGCACTTTGCAAGAGCAAGACCTCTTAAGCATAGGCATGTCCAGAATTGGCCAACAGAATTATTTTACAGCTCAAAATGGTGAACAAGTGTACACTTTCCTAAATCTATTCCTAGATAAATGAAAAAAAAATTGCATTTTCTTTCTGTATACATGTTTTTTAAAGGTTGAGTTAACACAGAGTAGTGTGTAAGAAGTCAGTGTGGAACCATTGTCACATTTACAACCAACTTAATGTGTAATTTGTTCCTGTTTTATGTGGTATGATAAGCAGTGTGAAAAAAGCACAGGCCAACCTCAAATGTAAACACAAAACGGTCACACAGAAAGCACTGCAGAGGAGGTGAGTGTGCAGAGCAGAACACAAGCTAGAGCAGCGATTCACTCCAACAACCTCCAGCCTTTATAACACACACACACACACACACACACACACACACACACACACACACACACACACACACACACACACACACACACACACACACACACACACACACACAAAGTGGACTTACCGTTTCCACTGTTCTGCAGAGAATAATAAAAAAATGTCCTTAGGAGGCGATTAGACATCTAATTAGGCCATAAAGAAGAGATAAGTGATACTGAACTAGATCATAAGGGGTACGTTACCTCTTTTGCTCTTGTTCTCTCAAAGGATCAAAACCACCTAACAAGTTAGAGCTCTGCGCCGACAAGGATCTACGGAACACGTTATTAAAAGTCATCACCAGTGAATGAATTACATTTTGAGCACCATCACTTCAAGGATACACTTTGCAAGTGTGTGAAGAGGCTTCTCAGCCCTGGAAACACTTCTGTTCTGCCAGGCAAAAGGCTGCCAATGCATCAAGCTCACATTTTTGACACTCGTCCAGTGTGGCCATTAGCTCAAACGTGCCCTTATCGATCTTTTATACAATCTACCTCTGGAATCTGAGTTTTTATTTTTTTTATCCCCTCCTTTCTACAACCCCTGCTACTTGACTGTGGCATTTATGGCGGTTCTGATTGCTCCCAGCATAATGAAATGTTTTTTTATCACTCACATAAACAAGCACACAAACACCCTTCAACTAATCATATTACTATTTTCCCCCAATGCCAAAATTATCTAAACAAAAGTGCAACACAAAATGAAGAGTTTCTAAAATCACTTAATGTGTTCCACACATGCATGCTGGCACAATCATAATAATATTAATATTCAGATGTTAAGCAGTCGGCTCCGTGCTCAGACAACCTCTGACATGGATCGATATAAACAGACAAAATTCAACATTGCAAAGTGTGTATACTTTTCCTAATGATCATCTATCAAAGGAAAGGATACATCACTGCAAAACACAAAAATGAAGGGGATCATCAACTCAATAAAGGAAGCATCTGATTAATTTCTTTCATACAGGTACTCAAAATATGGTGAAAGAATTTTGCTCATATAATAAAAAAAACTGAGACCGCAAAAACATCAAATTACACTTGGGCTGAAACGAATCACCGAATAATTCGAATGGTTCGATTAATTAAATTCCTCCATTCTTTTTTTACTGATTCGAAGCTTCGTTAAATGTGCGCTCCACAGTCTGAACACATTTTACTGGAGCACTACATGGTGATCTAGGTGCTGTGGAGGAAAATAGAGAAACCAGCAAAGACAGAAACCATTGTAAACGTCAGAAACTGTCCTAAGTTTGAGACCAAGAGTTAAACTACAAGAAGAAATGCTAATGCTAAGCTAGCGGGTAGCATTCTCACGAGCAAGTGAGATTCAGAAAAACATGATGGTTGTGAACGACTAAACTCCACAAGCTGAAGGAAAATCCCCACCATCCCTTTTATATGTGGACCTAAGAATCGGTTTGGGGCAAAGCACCACTTGGTGAAGGCACTGCAGCTACCATCTGTTTTTTGCTACAAGTCTGCTCCATCCTCTGCAGAAGTAATGGCAAGCAGTTGTAGCATATAAATCACTAACACTTTTTATATTTCAACACAATTTAGACTAGATTATGTTGCCAACACGTACATAACAAAATAAATACACAACATTGCTATGACTAGAAATTAAATGTTAGCATTTCTAGCTAACTACTGAACATGTTAATGAAATGATTTAATTATACCGATCATATGTGAATATATTTATATATGTTATTTTGACTAGGATGAGTGACATTAATACAAACAAAATTGTGAATAAAATGTAAGTCAAATGTTGTTCCATAAAATATTTATTAACTATAAATATCAGCTGGGAAAGAAGGAACTAGACAACATCAATTTAATATATATTATTGAGCCTTTTATAATTTTGCTTTTTTATTTTCATATTTTTTGCAGCAAACAATAATCTCATTTCACTTGAAACGTCGTCAAATAGAATATTCAATTAATCGATGGAAGATTCAATAGAATACTCGAATACTAAAATGTTCGATAGCTGCAGCCCTAAATTACACAGAAAAAAACTAGACATAAATATTCTCAGAAAAACAAAAAAATATGCCAGAATTTTTGTTTTCCAGTTGCTATAAATTAGTCAAATCAGAGAAAAGCTTTCTTGTTCTCCCCTTCAATTATGCTCACCACTGTATGATTATCCATTGCAATGCAAATATGTGTCAAATTCATCTAAAATGTGTGTTAAGCAGCAGACTCAGGCACACGGTTTTGTTTCAGGGGCTTTGGTAAGTTCAGAGCCAGATTCCAGAGAAAGCGAGCACGTGTGAGAAAAAAAAGAGGATTCTTGAAAAAAAGAGACAGAAAACAGATGAAATGGTTGATAACTGAAGACAGAAAGGAAATAAGTGTACCTAATTCAAAAGCGAAAGATCAAATGTGAATGTGCTTTTAAAGGTTGACAACGTCTATTCAGTTTGGTAATTAACCTGAAGAAAAAATGGTTTATCAACATGCAGATTTAAAATAAAAAACATCATGTTTGAAGACGCTGAGCTGCTTGCACACTACTTGCAACTTTCTTTAGCGATTTGATTCTAGACGTGACTCAAAAAGAGGATTTAGATGTGTTTTAACAAGGCATGGCGGTTGTTGAGAATTTCATAAACTGCTGACCTACTGGGATTTTCACCAACAACCATCTCTAGGGTTTACAGAGAAAATGTTCAGTTAGCCATAGATGCAAAAAGAAAAATACCTTGTGGATGTCAGAGATGAATGGGCAGACTGGTTTGGGATGACTGTTATTTATTTTTTTAAAGATGAGTCCACTAAACACAAACGGCTTCCAGTCACCAGATCACAATCCAGTCCAGAACCTTTGGGATGTGGTGGAATGGGAGATCCTATGCAAATGTGTGATGCTGTCATACCAATAAGAACAAGAACCTCTGAGGAATGTTTCCACAAATTTAAAGCAAATTTGACCTAACCTGACTTGAAGTGTTTTCCTAACACATCTATTTAGTTTTTATTCATTTCTAATTGTGAAAAAATGTGTGTAAACACCTAAATCCTTAGTGTGGCCATTCTAATGTAGGAGATGCAGAAACAAAGACATGACGAACACAATCAAGAGAAAAAAAGCTCTGCACCCCCCTACCCCACTCCAAAGGGATTCTGAATGGCCACACGTTGGGAGTCACTTTTGTGAATCTAAACTTTGCCTAAATGAAACCATCATGTGAATAATGAGCAGTCTGATGAATGTTGTCCTGTTCCCGGATGGCCTAATGTCCAACAGCTCCAAACAATACTATTCATCTCGGCTCATTCTGCAGCCCCCAAACAATAACCCCCACCACCATATCACCCTAACTTTGTTAGATGTTTATATATTAACCACTTTACAATTGTCCTGCCATTAGAAAGGAACATGCAGGTGCATATTAGTTCACTATTATTAGTTTGCACTATTGGGCCAAAGGGTTTCCAGAGTAATTGTTCATATCTGATACCCATCGCCTGCTGGAAATGACCTTGAACTTGCAGCTTTTGACCCATTTCAGGATTATGTGGTCACATAAGGCTGCAAACTTTGCCTTTAAGGATGCATGCAATATATATATCCCATCATTTAAAAATATGGAATATTAAACTCAGTGAGGCTACAACCTCCAAACCAGCATTTAGGAAATTGAAACAATTGAATTAAAACTCGTGGAATACAAATAAATAAATAAATTCTCATAAATCGTGTGTGAGAGGGGAAATCATTGATGCAGCAATCTGAGCATTTTCCATGGTAAAACGTTTCTGACTAATCCAGATTTTTTTTTGTTTTTGCTCTTCAGCGCGCGTCTGAGGAACCTGTTCTGTTCAAAGGTCCTTTTATTTAAAATTATTAATGTAGTTTTTTTTCTTATCTTATAATATTTTATTTTGGGCACAATTCCCGTTGGATAAGCAGTTAATTCACCTGCTCAAATGATAGCCGCTCTTTTTTGAGATTCAAACGGCGTCGGAGACGGACAGCAGACAGAGAACTTGAGATCTTTGGACCTTTCGGATTTGTCAGTTTCATTTAAAAGTCTGAACGCATCAGGTCCGTGTCTATTTAAGTCCTAAACGACTCTACACCGGTTTACCTTCGTTTACGGGGATGCTCCACGCTCCAAGCAACGCCAGACTCCAAGTCCATGTCCAAACCAGCAGGCGAACGCCAGAACTCCAAAGAGAATGCATGGCGCATCCAAAGGGGGGACACGCGTAACAGTGACGGGCTGTTTTCAAACTACAGCGGTGTCGGACAGCATTAGACGAGGAAATGTGTTCCAATCATTTGTGCCGTTCTGGGTCTGTGGACAGAGGATGGGGCTCATGTTCTGCAGCGGTCTGAGGACGGTAATGAGGAGCGCTCCTGTCTTCGGTTTGGAGAAGGCGGGCGGTGCGTCTGTGGGGGGCGGAGTTAAGCGCAATGTCTCTCCAATCACAGACCACCCACAGGTGAACTCCTGCTGCTGTCGGACTGCTACGTCCAAATGACAATCGATTCTCAGTCGTTATCTCTTTAACTCTAGAGCCATCACTTGTTCTTCATACTGGAGCCCTCCAGCTGGGCTCCTGAGTCTGTGGAGGAGGACGGCTGGATGACAGTGGCTTTTTCAACAGATCTGAGGGCTTTTCTGCTCTTTCTTCCTTCCTTCCTTTGAATCCTCCTTCCTTCCATGCTTTTTTTTTTATTTTTATTTTTTGTTTTTTAGTTTGATCCTAAATATGAAGATTCACATCTTCAGCTAAAACTAAAGACTGTGAGTAAAAGTGTAGAGCAGCAATTAAACATTGTTAATATTATTATTATTATTATCATTATTACTATTATTATTATTATTATTATTATTATTATTAGTAGTAGTAGTAGTAGTAGTAGTAGTGGTAATTATTATTATTATTATTATTAGTAGTAGTAGTAGTAGTAGTAGAAGTAGTAGTAGTAGTAGTAGAATTAGTAGTAATAGTAGTAGTAGTAGAAGTAGTAGTAGTAGTAGTAGTAGTAGTAGTTGTTGTTGTTGTTGTTGTAGAAGTAGTAGCAGTAGTAGCAGTAGTAGTAGAAGTAGTAGTAGTAGTAGTATATACCATCAAGTGACATCACAAGAGCCAACTCAAGGCACATAACAAAACAAACATTCCAGTTGATCCTACGTATCACTTCACAGAGTTCAGCTCTTTATTCCAAATAATTAAAGTTTCTAATAAAGGAACCCAGCAGACTGCATCAATTCACTGACTTGTTGTGTCAGTGACTTTACAGTATTTCCATACAGTTGCATGTAGTGATAGTGGAGAGGCAAACTCCCCTGTAACAGGAAGAAACCTCCAGCAGGACCTCAGTATGAGCAGCCATCCGTCTCAACTCACTGGAGGTATGAGAAGACAGAGCACACACACACACACACACACACACACACACACACACACACACACACACACACACACACACACACACACACACACACACACACACACACACACACACACACTCACTCACTCACTCACTCACAAACAAATAAATAAATAAGCGGATGAACTAGTAGTATTACGTTTTATGTTAAAGAAAAAAGTTTATATCAGAGGGAGATTGTTTAGTGGTTGGCAATAGCGTACTAGCTATTGACGCCCTCCAGGAGGCTATCACAGCTCAGCAGAACACCAGACCTGGTGTTGCTTCTCTGGAGAGAAAAACAATTACAAAAATATAAAGTTTAAAGCTTGAATAACAGGAAATAATGCAATTAGAAATGTAGCAATTATCTGCTACACCAGGACACAAACACAGAGCACACGGCTTCTGCTCATTCAAAACAGCTTTATTTCTCCACCTTTTCAGGGAAATGTGTATACTCAGAGCAACACAAGATCCCCACGTCTGGTCCATTTCTCCTCCATCTATGGCACCATCCTTTATAATAAATGTGCAGCTGATTAGTGATAAGACCCAGTGTGTAGCTTTAGGCTCCCATGGGCCCCTTCCATTCACACCACCACACTCCTCCACTTGCTCCAGGCCAAGGTCATCTCTGGTCTGAGTGACAACCCCACCCCCAGCGAGGGGGAAAGAGTGGTGTTGGACCAGCTGGGCTCCCAGCACGGGTCGGATCCAGACCACCTCTTCCTTGGGGTGTACGACACCTCTTGCCTCCAGGCCAGCGACTGGCATCCCAAACTGTTCAGTCTCCTAACCTGGGTCCCACTGTATTTCTCCATTAGAAGGCAGTCTCACCGCCCATAACCTGCTTCACCATAATTTCAGCAGCAGAGGGGCAGTTCCATGCCAGGAGCTGCCGTCCACTGGGGCCATCCTGCCTCATCACTGTTCCTTCGGGTCAATTCCAAACTCCAGGTGGTCAAAGTTGGTTCAGCGTTGGTGTTGGTCGCCCTTGTGGATTTTTGGATCTGTGGGCCGTTAGATGGTCCTCATCCAGAGTCACCATGATCTGATCGTCTGCAGGGTGGAAGTGGCAACAGTAGTTCACTGGCATACACCCCATCTGGTCCAGGATGCCACGTCTGAGCTCCTTGTACCTTCTGGACATGGCGGGTAGAATTCCTCCACCAGTCTGGGCCGCCAGTTGCTGCAGGATGTTGGTCTGCCACACTGCCTATCACTGCAGTCCCTCCATCTAGGCTGCACCTCTCCCCTGACTCACAGTTAAATTGGGCCATATCTGCCAGCATCTGGCCCGGCACTGCGACCTGTGATGGGGCAATCACATCGTGGGTCGCTTGTTGCATGGTGCATGCGTGCATCCCCCACACTGAGTGCCAAATGTAGCAATTATCCACTGCACCAGGACTCACACACAGAGCACACAGTTCCTGCTCAATCAACACAGCTTTATTTTTCCACCTTTTCAGGGAAAAAGCTGCAACACTCGTCTCCAGACTCAGAACACAAGCTCTTCACGTCTGGTCCACCTCTCCTCCTCCTCCTCCTACAATGCCATTCTTTATAATCAGTCTACAGTTGATTAGTGATAAGCGCCCAGTGTGTCGCCGCGGGCTGCCAAGGATCCCTCCCCTTCACACCGCCACAGGGAAGTAGTAGTAGAATAGCTTATTATTATTATTATTATTTTATTTATTTTTTTATATGAAATTTTCCTATTTTGTAACTCTTTCACTTAAACGTTTAAGCTATGTGGAATAAAATAAACTTGATCTAGAAAATTAAAACAACTCAAGCAGCACTTGTGCTGTCTTTACCAAATCAAGACTTGATATTTATTCACTGCACAAGTTAAATGTTGGTTAAAACAATAACAGGTAGAATGGATACAGAAGTGTCACATGCAAAGCAGTAAGATTTTAAACTTCATGCATCAACATCAAGACAAGTCCTCAGTGCCCTTACTAATCAATGATTCAAGTTTAAAATATTTTACCTCTGGGACGATTGTTAGCTGAAGGTGATGTGGGTTTTAGATCCAAGATTAATGTTAAACATATTTCTGCAACACAAGTTGATGCTTAATGGAATTAATTTTGACACAATTTTCATCATTTATATAAAATCCTTTGTGAGGAGGATGATCCTACTTGTTTTGGTTCAACCTGCGGAACAGCCTACAGATAAACAATTGTTGGGGTTATTCGGTAGCGAACAATTAGTAAGCGTTAACTTACTTTTGGATTCTTCAATAAATTCTGTAAATATGGGAATATTTACTGATTTATTAATTAATTAAGATATTCTTAGATATCTCCGGGGCACCACCCCGTTCTACCGGGGGAAAATTGAATCCAAAACTCTTATCAGTCTTTCTTGAAGTTCGTAGAATCCTTGGAGCAGAGACTTCTCTTCGACACAACAAAGCTACTGGAGACGAAAATCTGAATTTTATAACATTTAAGTGAACAATTTGTCAAATGAATAAACAGTGGCCTAAATGAATAATAACCATGTGATATAATAAAAGGATGTATATTCAAAATAATGTTCAAGGTGTTTTGTGTGTATGTATGTGTGTGTGTGTTTCTAAAATGGAGCCTGTATACAAGATGGCTGACCCCTTTGTCTGGCTAAAGTGTGGGTGGCAAGTTGCACTTTAACTTCCAAGGCACTTAGAATCATAAGTAACTTAACCTTAAATCACTCAAAACATTTCAAAGGATCATGAAACAACACAAAAGATTAATCACAAGTTAATATCTTTTAGTTTCACCACTTGGCCATAGTAGGAAACATTTAAAGATATTCAAACAATGATCAATAAGCAGTTTATTCTTTCAAAATGACCCGACGGACGTATTGGGAGCGAAAGAGGAAAACACGAAGCTACTTTTTAAGCAATAGCGCGGTTTTATTGCTTATTCTGGACTATAGAGGAAACGGAAGAAGGAAAGAGAGAGAAGGAGATGAGTTTCTGATCACCAGAACAGTGAAGCGTCCCTCACTGTTTGATTTGACGGTTCTCCGTGTTTCTCCGCAGTTTGGCGTCGTCCGTCGGTTTGATGGAGTTGTCGCTTTCTCCGTTGTTTGGCGTTCTCCGTGAGTGTTTCTCCACGGGCTGGACACAAAGAGAACGAAGTTTCTTTTGTGCTGAGTTTGACAACTTACAGCGTCTCTGAGAGCTGGATGGAGCTCCGCTCGTTCCCAGTCAGGTCCTGATGGAGTTGGAGTGGCTTTGTAGCGGTTGCGTGGCTCAACTTGGGCACTTAGAGCTTCCGCGTGCTCAAGGGAGTCGGAGCGTTCGACAAGCGTGTCCTTACCGCCAGGTATCCTGGGCAAAAGAACGAGGTTCCTTTGTCTTTCCTGATGATTTATAGTCTGAGTTCGCGGGAAAGCTCTGTGACTCCCGCACATGCACAGAATGTGTTTCTGGTATTAGGCGGTGACGTCATCACAATGCTTCCGTGTGCAAAGCATCATGGGAAAAGAAGTTTCTTGGCGCTGATGTGATTATTTGCTTTTCAGAGCAATTTAAGCACAGTCATTTTGGAGAAAATCACTGCATAGTAATTTCCTCATGAGGTCAGACCCTCAACACAATACAATTATAACATATATTTTTTATAAAGGGGTTCTTAGTTTTTAACATGTTTACTGTCTGCTGTTTTTTCCTCTGGTCCTTTTCCACTCTTCATGCTCTAATTAGATTCTCTGATCCTTGAGTGGCTCTTGATGATTTTCCTGTGGCTTAACTGGTGACACCTCCCACACACACAGACGAGCACATAATCATGCATGGGTGCAACACTGCATTCCACACTTTAACATGTTAAAAACACACATCAGTACTTCTAATACAGTCTCATATGTTACCCTTTAGCAGCTGCACACATCCTTGCTTCCTGCCCTGATGGAAAGTATTCTAAAACCGTAATCACTCTATAAGTTCCATGAATAATCATGCATGTTGAAACATAAGTGTCGGTGTAAAA